CATACACTGATGTTTCTCTCCCTCTCTCCTTCCCTTCCTCTCTAAAGCTAAATAAATAAAATCTTTAAAAATATATATATATATATATATATATACACATATGTATTTTAAATGGACTTTGTGTTGGGTGGGGCAGCAAGAATCTTCCAGGTACCAACATCCTTTTTAAAAAAACCTGTGTTATAGAAAGATCTAGGGGATCATACAGTAAAAGCTTACGAGCCAGAACATCTTTATATGAATTTGATATGTAATGACAGTGGCATCAAGTCAGTGGCAAAGTTATTTCAGTAGTTCAATAAATGATAAAGGGACAAGTTGTTTGGCTTTGGGGCAAAAAATTAGACATTTACCTTACACTCTGCAAAATGCTAAAGATCAAAGCATTATATTAAAAATCACATTGTAAATTTAAAAAATTGCCCTGGCTGGTGTAGCTCAGTGGATTGAGCACGGGCTGCAAACCAAAGGGTCACCAGTTCAATTCCCGGTCAGGGTACATGCCTGGGTTGTGGGCCAGGTCCCCAGCAAGGACTGTGTGAGAGGCAACCACTCATTGATGTTTTGCTCCCTCTCTTTCTCCCTCCCTTCCCCTCTCTCTAAAAATAAAATCTTAAAAAAATTGTATATCGAAAATGACCTGATATTACTGAAAGATTTTTTTCTAACATAAAAGCAAAGGAAGAAACCGTTACAGCTGTTGAGAATTTATTTTTTGTTTTTCTTTACTCACTGGTTAGTGTAAAATATTTCCATATATTTCTAGAGCTTCTGCCCTTCTGCCCTCCTGCCCCCCTTTCCCTAAGCAGCACTTTTGTGTGAGGTTTTTATACTTGGAGGGTTTTATACTTGGAGTCTAAACTGCTTAAAACACATGGCTAGTTACTAACCAAGAGGTGTTTTTATCATTGAATATTTCAAATATTTTCACAAGAATAAAGGATATAATGAACATCTGGGTATGAACCTTTATCAACATCTTCTAGGTTTTATAGAATTTTTTCTACTTCAAGCTATATTGGTCTTTTTCCTTTTTTGATGAAAGCTTAAAGAAAGAACTTTGAGACTTTATAGCAGATACCTTTTTACATTGGTTTTGAGCAGTGACTACCCATCCCTTCTGGGAATAAATTTATATTAAGACTAGAGGTTCTCGTAGGGACACGGTTGAAGGCTGCATTCTAGAAATACTGACAGGTAGGATTTGTTTGGAGCAGAATGGTTTTTATCATCTTTGGAACCTTGATTTAGAAAAAAGTTCTGAGTTTGATTTGGTATAAAATGTTTCATTTTATCCCTGGCTGGTGTATAGCTCAGTGGATTGAGCGGGGGCTGTTACCCAAAGGATCGAGGTTTGATTCCCAGTCAGGGCATATGCCTGGGTTGCAGGCTGGGTCCCCAGTGGGGGCCATGTGAGAGGCAACCACACACTGATGTTTCTCTCTCTCTCTTTCTCCTTCCCTTTCCCTCTCTCAAAAAAAAATTTTTTTTAATGTTTCATTCTAAAACTAGAAAATTAAACAATTTATATTCACTTAGCTAAATGTTTGTCAAAAATAGAGAGCATGGAACTTTAATTTCCTTATGTTTTATCGTGGGAAGTCTAGAGACATTCTGAGATTAATGAGTCCACAAAGAAAGGTTCAAAGCCATGAAAGCGATCGTGACAAACACAAAATGTGACCAGCAGAGGCCGGTGAGAGAAAGGTGATTTCATGCCCTAAACTTCCTCATATGTGCCGTGGGCATCACTGGTAGCTTAACGTTGAAGTCTCACAGCAGACCTCCTCATTTTCTACTGTTCCTAAAGGGCAGATGAGTGTTTGTTTAAAATCTGTAGACCAAGAACCAGAGGTCAAAGCTTTCCTAGTTTTTACTTTTTGTTTTATACCTTCCTATAGTATTTGAACAATGCTATTTAGAAAATGGATGTATTAGTGTTACTCCTCTCCCCCTCAAAAAAAAATAAATAAATAAAACCAAAAAGCCAAACAAACAAAAACGGAAAACCAAAATGGAATTCTACACTGAAAACTTCCTGTTTCTAGGAAGAAAAGTTGGTCAGTTCTTCTCTATACTTAATACGGGACTTCAGATGAGGCTTAGCCTCTGGAAGTACTGAAACTTGGAAAAGTGAAAGGAAATAAGGTCGCTAGGAAGATTCTAGGGACTGCCCTTGCCAAGCAATATTTGTATGGAGGTTTCCTGGTTTTATAAACTTAATATGGAATGTTTCTTTGTGTTTGTAAATAAGACAAAGTTTTTGCTGTATGATTCTCTATATTCTTTTTTTAATGTAGGAGAAATATACTACTACTCAACCTCTACTGTAAAGTTGGCAGCCCTGAGAACTCCTTTTCTTAATGTAGCGTGTTATGGATGCGTTCCTGCTCCCAAAGGAATGAGGAGCAGACAGTTCCACACGTGATACATTTTTTTATTTAAAAAAAATTGTTTTGAACGCCCTAGCTGGTGTAGCTCAGTGGATTGAGCGTGGGCCTGCGAACCAGAGTATCGCGGTTCGATTCCCAGTCAGGGCACATGCCTGGGTTGCAGGCCAGTTCCCAGCAGGGGACACGTGAGAGGCAACCATACATTGATGTTTCTCTCCCTCTCTCCTTCCCTTCCCCTCTAAAGATAGATAGATCAATCAATCAATCGATCGATCGATCTTTTTAAAAAATTTGCTTTGACCCAGTAACTGTGATTCCAGCACAGGCGATTTTCAAAATATAGGCAGTCTCTCAGTATTTTACAAGACTGCAACTAATTGTTGAAGAAAGTAAATTTGGGGAAATGTAAATTTCAGTCGACCTCTGCTGTCCTTCTATAATGGAGGTGAAAAAAAAATGAAATAAGTGTAAGTATGGTAGAGAACCAGTTACTAATTGCTGTTCGTGTAATCTCTCCTTTTGAGCAGGAGGGTATATGTAATTAGGTGTTGTGAATTTTATAATGTTGTTGAGTCTATATCATGAGAGGTGATACAGGAAATTCCATTTCTTAAGGAAGTTCCAGTGGTGATGTTCTTATCAAAGGGAAGCTTTGACATGTGCCGATACACACTGAGTTTGTGGGTCACCTGCACGGGAGTGGCCTGCTCTGCATATGTAACGGAAGGGTGGAGTGGTTGGCCTCCATGCTCTTCTTCCTCCTATGTGCCATGGGCATCACTGATAGCTTAACGTCGAAGTCTCACAGCAGACCTCCTCATTTTCTACTTGGTGATGGTAACTCGAAGCCCCTGAAGCAGTGAAGGAAGAGCTGGGCAAGGCAGATAGGTGTCAGAAGAGAGGTGAAAAGGGGACAAACGAGGTAAATTTCAGACAAGAGGCCAGCAGCAGCAGCTCTACCTTGTACTCTCTTGACCTGTACTTGCCCTTTGTTTGCACTCTGTTGTGCTTGGGGTTTCCTAGGAATTTTGATTTTAGACAGGGTAAGATATGCTTTTTTTTTTTTTTAATTTGTGGAGAAATACATTTATGTTATGTTATGTACATCATTATAAAAGATTGATTGCTGGGTCTATTCTGTTTGAAAGCACCCATATATAATTTGTATGCTATACTTATACAGCACTCCACAGAAATGTTGCCAGTGTCAGTAAATTAGTTGCAGTAACATATTTTTTCTTTGGTCTTACTCTTCCTGTGGGTTTTTCCCCAAGGTTTATACTAACCATTTACTAGGGAAAAGTATAACATCTATGGTTGTAAGTTACAGATGTTAAGGGGGCAAAGACTCACCCTTCTGCCACACTGAATTCCAAATGCAACAAAGCACCTACCATGTGTCAGCCATTCAGAGAGGACCAGGACACAGTCTTGTCTGCCAGTTGGAAGAGATGAGATAAACACCTTATATCTGTAACATAAAGCAAAACGTGTGGGCAGTGAAAGAGAGACTGATAATGGCTAAAGGAAATAATCACTTTTCCAGACATTTGAGATTGACTGAGAGTCCTTTTGGCAGAAAGGTTCACTGTGTTACTCTCAAATCCTGCTGCTACTTTTGTTCCGGGAGATGGTACTGATTGATCAAGAAGGAATGGTATGAAAGCAGCAGAGTGCTCAGCCATCCATAGATAGATTGCATTGTTGTTCTCCAGGTAATTGGGAGTCTACCCACCCCTGCAAGATTGGTTCTCAAGGTAAATACTCCAATGGAAAACTTGCAGAATTGATTTCTGAATTTTAGTAGTGACCTAGTTATTTAAGACATTCAACTCCCTCCTCAACTTATTTTAATAGTGTTAAAAATAATAAGTTTTACATATATTTAATCCTCTTGTCAACTGTGTGAAGTAAATAGTATTTTATCCCCATTTGATACATAAGAAAACTGAGGTTATCTAACTTGTCCAGGATTACACAGTTAAGGAGAGATCGAGCTAGGATTTGAACCTAGGCAGTCTGGCTCCAAAATTCATGCTCTTCTGTAAGCTATGTTACAAAAAGAATGTGAGCAGTATGTGGCAAAATGGAATTTGGTTGGTTCCAATGGGAGGTGGAAAAGGACACATCCCCTGTGTCTTGGGTCTTGCCATTGCTAGATGGCATACCTGTCCCTTCCCTGTAGGACATAGTTGGCAGTGGAAATAGAACATGTCAGCAGGAATCCTTGCTCCTAGCGTCCTTAGTAGTCCTCTCTGATGGTCGCAGAACAGTTTTGCGTGTGTCTCACTGTCTAGGTCGTGGCTCTGCAGGAAAGATGGTCTAGTACTGGGTGGAGAGTGTGGTTTTGGCTTGTTTCATCTAGTACTGTGACACATGCTTTTGTTTGTCTTCAGTGTGGTAGTTTGGTTTAAGAAATATTTATGGAAACAATTTTCAGATGCCATTAATTGGAAAAATAAGGTGATACAATAAAACTTTACTTTGGATTCCAGGTGCATGCAGCTGCTCTGACTGTTCACTCTGATGCAAGTGTGATTGGCCTGTGCATTTCAAGATAGAAAAACAGTAATGTAATTTTGACTTGTCTATTTATTTTGTTACTAGGAACCCTAAGGAATCTACAATATGAATAATTCTCTGGAGAACACCATCTCCTTTGAAGAATATATCCGAGTAAAGGCGCGGTCTGTCCCACAACACAGGATGAAGGAATTTCTGGACTCACTAGCCTCTAAGGGGCCAGAAGCCCTTCAGGAGTTCCAGCAGACGGCTACCACTACCATGGTCTACCAGCAGGGTGGGAACTGCATTTACACAGACAGCACCGAAGTGGCCGGGTCATTGCTTGAACTTGCCTGTCCAGTCACCACCAGTGTTCAGCCACAGACCCAGCAAGAACAGCAAATCCAGGTTCAGCAGCCACAGCAGGTTCAGGTAAAAGGGCTGTGTTGAGGTGCATCCTGTTTAGTAGACTTTATTTGCCATCATGGTTTGGGTTAGTAGAAGCATCACATCTATATACATTGTCAGAGGTTATTTTCACTAAGGGAAATACTTGGGCTTTTTTTAATTTAAAAAAAAAAATTATTTATCTTTAGTCCTGGCTGGTGTAGCTCAGTGGATTGAGTGCAGGCCTGCGAACCAGCGGTTAGCGGTTCAGTTCCCAGTCAGGGCACATGCCTGGGTTTTGGGCTGGTTCCCAGCAGGGGACGCATGAGAGGCAACCATACATTGATATTTCTCTCCTCTCCTTCCCTTCCCCTCTAATGATAAGTAAATAAAGTCTTTTAAAAAAAATATTTATCTTTAGAGGGAAGGGGAAAGAGAGAGGGAGAGAAATATCAATGTATGGTTGCCTCTCACATGTCCCCTGCTGGGAACCAGCCTGTAACCCAGGCATGTTCCCTAACTGGGAATTGAACCACGATCCTCTGGTTCGCAGGCCTGCGCTCAATCCACTGAGCTACACCAGCCAGGGCTACTCAGACTTTTTAAAACATTTTCTTTCACACAAAGGCTTTCATATTTCAGAATTGATGCATACTAAAAATGTTTGCATCCACTGTAAACTGAAGACCACAGGTATTTGCTGTTTGTGTTGGTGAATTGAACAGCATAGAAATTAGAAGCCTTCTGGGGCTGGATTTGGATGTTACACAGCTGAGAGTGACTGAGGTTTCTCTTTGGTTTGTCACCCTGAGCAGATCAAAAGCATAGGAGGGTTAGTCTTGGCTCATTACTAAAAGCATGACGTTTGGAACTCGTTTTGAAATGGGAAGGCTGATGTATTTTAGAGATCTAGTTGTATGGTTCCCTGACTCAGGTCACCCACGGGTTTCTAGTTCTGCAGTTGCTATGTATAAGCCTCAAGAAATAATGCTATTGATAACAAACTTACTGAAAGAGGAAAATCTAATACATTCGCTGATATGGTAAAAGTTCTTCTCTACAGGGGTTCTTTTTTCTTGTTTAAGTTTGTTTGTTTGTTTATAGAGGGGAAGGGAAGGAGAAAGAGAGGGAGAGAAACATTAGTGTGTGGTTGCGCCTTGTGCGCCTCTATTGGGGACCTGGCCTGCAACCCAGGAATGTGCCCTGACTGGGAGTCGACCAGGTATCAAACTGGCAACCTTTTGCTCTACAGGATGATGCCCAACATGGTCAGGGATGGAAAGATACTTTAAGATTTATTCTAGCAGTGCTGAAAAAAATAAATGCCATAAAAACCTACTAAATCTTTGCTGTGGCTCAGCTAGTAGCATCATCAACACACACCAGAAAGGTTTCAGATTCACTCCTGTCAAGCATATACTAAGACTGCGGTTTGGTCCTGTCAGGGTGCATACAAGAGGCAAACCAGTCAATGTTTCTCTTTCTCCCCCACCTTTTCCTCTCTCTAAAACCGATAAACATATCCTCGAGTGAGGATTAAAACAAAACACAAAAAAACCCACTAAATCTGAGAAATTGCCAAAATAGAGGAAGCAGACAGAGTTGGGTGATAGAGGAATTCATGTAGGAGTGAACTTTTAGGGAAGGTGGGGCAGTCCTCAGGGTGCCCCGAGCTAAAAAGTGAAGAACAGAAAGAGCCAGAGAGGTCCTCTGGGGCAGCCTCAGACCCATGGCTTGGGAATTAATTCAGGACTTTAAACACACACGTGTCCATATATATTGTGAGTCAATATTAGGTACGGGATGAAGGCAGCGCTGCCGATGAGTATGGAAAGGATATACCATATTTTTTGGACTATTAAGATGTGTGTACACACACCCCCACCCCCATTTGGGAGGAAAATGCAGCAGAGACCCTGCTCCTGTCTCCTGTGGCCCCACTCCACCGCCCCCCACAGTGAGCCAGGTACGCTACATTTCGACTACAAGATGCACCTCCTTTCCTCCCATATTTGGGGGGAGTGTGTCTTATAGTCCGAAAATACAGGTACTCCATTTAGCAGTAAGGCAATCTGCTCCTCTTTGGGACATAAAGTCAGATACCTCTGAGAATACAAATAACGAATAGGTGGTTTAAAGAGTTCACGTAAAAACAAAACAAAACCATTAAAAGACGGTATAGGAAATTTTCGTAAACTCTTAAGATAGCTTTTGCCTTTTTTTTTTACCCTGGAGGAAACCTTGAAATAATTTCCAGGTCTCAGGGAACCCCTGCATAAACAATTATATTTACAGCTCATGGAACGTTAGCTTAATCAGCAAGTTAGACATTTAAGAATTCAATAATAATTGTCCCCTGGATGGTGTAGCTCAGTGGATTGAGCTCGGGCCTGCGAACCATGCAATCCGGGTTCAAATCCCAGTCAGGGCACATGCCTGGGTTGCAGGCCAGTTCCCAGTGGGGGACACATGAGAGGCAACCACACATTGATGTTTCTCTCCCTCTCTTTCTCCTTCCCTTCTCTCTGAAAATAAATAAAATATTAATAATAATAATAATTGTCAGTGCTCTTTTGATCATCATTTTTCTCTATGGCCGTACATTTTGGCCAGTTAGGCTATTGTGTGATTCCTTTCCCCACACAGGTTATCAGTTTTAATTCAAGTTATCAGTATAAATAGAGGAAACCTTATTTTTTCCCTTTTAAAAAAAGATTTCCACCTTGGCTGGTATGGCTCAGTGGATTGTGTGATGGCCTGCGAACCAAAGGGTTATCGGTTTGATTCCCAGTCAGGGCACGTGCCTGGGTTGCAGGCCAGATTCCCAGTAGGGGGCTCACAAGAGGCTACCACACATTGATGTTTCTCTTCTTCTCTTTCTCCTTCCCTTTCCCTCTCTTTAAAAATAAATAAAATCTGCCCTGGCTGGTGTAGCTCAGTGGATTGAGCATGGGCCTGCAAACCAAGGGGTCACCAGTTCAGTTCCCAGTCAGGGCACATGCCTGGATTGCGGGCTGGGCACACAGTGGGGGGGCGTTCGAGAGGCAACCACACATTGATGTTTCTCTCCCTCTTTCTCCCTCCGTCTAAAAAAAAATAAGTAAATATTTCAAAAGTAAATAAATAGAATCTTTAAAATAAATAAAAGAGATTTCCTGTATAAGGGCTTTGGGGTTTTTTTTTCTTTGCCTTTTTCAAGTAAGTAGTCATAAAAACCTCACCATGGATTTTTACCGTACAAGTTGCTGAGATAAGGTTTGTGTTACCTGATGTGTGCTGAGTGTGCACTGACCAGCAGTGCCTGTGTGGTTATGGACGGTCAAGACAAATTCACACAGACTATTGGGTCCTGTGGAAGAGAAGGGCAGGACACTCTCTAGGGAGAGTGCCATGTACCTTTTGCCTGGACAGGCTTTTACTGCGTTTTGGGGCAGGCACTCAGGTACAAGCTTATTAATCGTGGATAGACAGTAAACAGCAGAAGTATACAAGAAACCATTAGGGCTTGTCCTTAAATCAAGGTTTATCAACTAAAAGGCTATAAAACTATGGGAAAATAAGAACATTTAACTAAAAGCATTTCTACCAGAGCAGATCTCACAGGTTTGTTAAGAATTCTTTATCTTGCCAGATCACCTGGGCCCTGCGCTAGCTGGTGAAAGGTTGCACCATCTTACCGTCACAGGTATTCAGGCTTAAGTGGATTAGAGCCAGGAAGCGCTTCTCCCAGAGGACATGGGGACTGGACTGTGTTAGAGTAGCCAGGGAGGGTGGTGAGGGCCTATGACTCCCTCCTTGTCTCAGCGTGCGCGCGCGAGAGAGAGAGACAGACAGACACACACACCACACACCACCCCCCCCCCAAGGATGTAGTCTGACTTAGGTTGCCCCCCACCCTGGGGGGAGGGTCTTATCTGTCACTGACTTCCAATCAGGCTTTGGGGACAGGGGGATGAAGCAGGGGCAGCATCTGCTGCCAGAGGCAAGCCTTGTCTCCTCTGTCTCGCATTCCAGAGGTTGCACACTCAGTCTTAAATGGCTGCAATTCCTGAAACCAGGAAGCAGTTCCCATCACTGTGCAAGAGTAGTTGTTTTCTCCCTTTATTTAAAATTAAAATGACCTTTTAGCCATGCTTTCTTGGACCAAAGGGTAATTAAGCTTAGCTTATCTTTCTTGAGACTAATGTTTCCTTTTTATAAATTTTTATAACTGTTAAGGCAAGTATATTTTCTTCAATAACTAGCTTAAGCCAAATTTAATTTTTATAGAAGTTGGCTTTGTAGATTTAATTTAAATAAAAATTATAAATTGATATTAACTGATGTTACATAAAAATTGACTGTTAATAAATCTAAAACTTCTAAATCATGTTGGACAGTATTAATTCAAATATGGCTAAAATTATAACTATATAAAACTTTGGAAAGAAACATTTTTGTTAGTGCATGGCTCGAACATAGGCATAGCAATTACAGAATTATTGTACATTCCTGTTGGTTTCTTCATCTTTTTTATAGGTCTACGTATACTACTTTAAAAGTATAATGTTTTTTGCCCTGGCTACTGTGGCTCAGTGGATTGAGTGGAGAATGGGGAACCCTCAGTTTGCTGGGGACATACGAATTTAGATTGAAGAGAGTTGGCATATGTGGTTGGTTATCTGAGGAAAGTACATTCTGAATCAGAATGGGAGCCTGCTTATTCGAAAGTAGTGTAACTAGAGTTCACTGAGTTGAGTGCATGGATGAGACAAGAGAGGTGACATCCATGCACTGGAGTGAAGGGCTGACCAGACAGCCTTCTCCACTCTGGATTGCTTTTTTTAATTGTGGTAAAATTAGATTGCTTTTTAAAAACCATTTGTCATTACCCCAGACTTTGCTTTGCTCTCATGACTTCATCTGTCCAGACTACGAGCAGCACCTCGAATTTGACAAAGTAATTATGCGCTTACAACAGTTTTATCAACTTGCTTGGGGATAAAGGTGTATGTCAGAAATTAATTAGAAGAGTAACTGAATTTAACTGTGTTCCTTTACTCCCTCCTACTATCATACACATACTTCTGACCACCAAATGTGTGTGTTATTTCCTACACAGACCAATTCTCCAGCACCAGCTGGCTTTCCTACAGTTCAGTTCAGTTCTGACACTATCTACTTATAGTTATCGTCAGATTGTACAAGTTAAAGATCAGTCCCATGAGACTGCCACCTACTTCAGATACCAATTGCATGTCCCAGGTTGTCACCTGGTGCTTCTCACCGCCTAGCTATAAATTGGAGTTCTCAGCCCTGGCTGGTGTAGCTCAGTGGATTGAGCACAGGCCTATGAACCAAAGGGTCCCCAGTTCGATTCCCAGTCAGGGCACACATGCCTGGGTTGTGGGCCAGGTCCCCATTTGGGAGTGCTAGAGAGGCAACCACACATTGATGTTTCTCTTTTTCCCTTTTAAAAAAATTAAAATAAAAAAATCTTTATTAAAAATAATAAATTGGAATTCTCAGTACCATTCCTTGGGTTCAGTAATTTGCTAGAACAGCTCACAGAATTCAGGGAAACACATTTATTGGTTTATTATATAATAAAGGATACAGCTAAATAGTGCGAGGTTCTGAAGACTAAAACACCATCCCAGCACACAGATGTTCACTAACCCAGGAGCTCCCAGAACCGAATACTTTTAGTATTTTTACGGGGGCTAAATCACACAGGTGTGATCGATTAATAACCCAATTTTTAGCCCCTCTTCCGTCTCCACAGAATGGGTAATGGGGGTTTAAAGTACCAAGCTTATAATCATGGTTTGGTCTTTCTGGTGACTGGCAGCCATCTAGGAGTCTACTGAAAGTCGCCTCATTAGAACACATAATGCTCCTAGCACCTTTATTATTAGGAAATTACAAAGGTTTTAGGATCTCTAGCTCAGAATCAGACAGTAACCAAGATATATATTGGTTATATCACAGAATCACAGTGTGTGTGTGTTTGAGATAGGGAGGCACTTTCTGAAGGCAGAAGGAAGAGGTTCCATGTTAATGCCCTCACAGTGTGTAGAATTCTAGGAGAACAGCCCAAGTTTCCTGTTGCTGGCAGGTCTGCCTGAGCTAAGTGAAGGGTGTTCATTTGGAACTTGCTTTTCAAGAGTGCTTCTGAATTCATTACTTCCTAAAGCATCCACATGGAGTTAAATGTGCGTGCCAGAGAGGAGGCCCTGTGATGATGATTCCCAGGGATTGGGTTTTGCTTAGCACCTATAGAATTGCTTGTTTCTTCTCTGTTCTTCCACAGGGCAGGAACTAAGGCTTCACATAAGGGTGGCCAGCCAGTCTGGGCTATTTAAGTGAAGGATGCTTTGGAAAGGGGGACTTCTTAGCATTTCTTTTGTTGCTAGAAGTAAACATCTCAAAGCTTCAGTGGCTTAAAGTGCAACTCTTCCTCTCTTGTCATCCCAACCTTCATGTCTTTTCCTCTTCCTTGATGTCACACATTCCCTCCATGCTGGGACAGTTCCTAACCCCTCATTGCAATGTAGAACTGCTGAGTGAGAAGTGAGGTGATCAGGAGCCAGATTTGGCCCTTAGACAAACATGAGTTTCTTCTGCCTCTGTTACATTAGATATGTCATCTTAGGTAGCTGTCTTAACCACGTTGTTGAGTCCATTATCTACATCATGGAAATAAAAAGAAATTAGGTATTATAGTTACTTTGAAGATTACATAAATTACAAGTCCTAAGCATACTGCTTGGCACACAGCAAGCACTTAGTAAATAAAAACTGCTGCTGCTGTTTCCTCCTTTCTCTTCTCGTTAGTGTCATTCCTACCTAGGGCCCAGGTTGCTTCTTAGACATTTGAAAAGTATCCAGACAAGCATTTATTTATAAACAGGTATTCCCAGTTTGCTATTTTTGCCCTTTTATAAAAGAGACCCAATTTTTAAAAGATTTTTTATTATTGTTATTCTGTTAACAGTTGTCCCATTTTTTCCCCTTTGCCCTTCTCTGCCCTTCCTGCTGCCTACTCCCACGGTCAATTTCCTGAAAAGACTTATAATGTTACAGATACAATTCATACCTGTGGTATTCCTCTGTACACCCCCCCTCCTACCTTAAATATGATCTTAAAGTTTTTAAATTGGTATGGTATTGAATATTTTCTGTATCCATCTGGGTTTCAGTTGTTAGTTACAAATATCAGGCCACATATTTCCTCCTTGCTAGTCATTTACTCAGAAAAAGGATTGACTAAAGCATAGTGGTTAGCTCAGGGAATTTGTGGGAGGGCCAGAGAATGGGTTTTGGAGGCTTGCCTGCCTGCTGTGGCAGAGATCTTAGCCACACCACTGGGCATACAGGTTCTCACCCTACCACAGTGTTTCGCTGGGATGTTCGCCATCCTGCTCCGTTTATGCCACTCTCACCAGAGAAATGAAGGTTGTGGTTCCTAGTGCTCCTTTCTGAGTCCAAGTTTCATGTTGTGTGTCTAATGTGAGAATCCGTGGTCTCATGCCTGCGCTCTACAGTGATTCTGCCTTGGGGAGGCAGCACACCAGAGTGTGGTGCAAACATGCGTTTGTGGCCAAAAACAGGATTGAAATAAGCTATTCTCTCACAGCCTGACCGTCACTTGAGATTGATGGACTTTTTTTAAAAGATTTTATTTATTTTTAGAGAGAGGGGAAGGGAAGGAGACAGAGAGGGAGAGAAACATTGTGTGAGAGAGAAACAGTTGCCTCTCTCACGCTCCCAACCAGGCACCCAGCCCTCAAACCAGGCACAAGCCCTGATCAGGAATTGAAGTGGGCGACCCTTGGTTTGCAGGCCAGCACTCAACCCACTGAGCCACACCAGCTAGGGTGCATTCCAGTTTTTTTACATCCTTACCAACACTTATTTGTCTCTTTTTAAAAAACTTTATTTTTTAGAGAGGGGGGGAGGAAGGAAGGGAGAGAAACATTATTGTAAAAGAGAAACATCAGTCTGTTGGTTACCTCTTACATGCACCCTGACTGGGGACTGAACCTGCACCCTAGGCATGTGCCCCGACCTTTCATTTTGCAGGGTGTTGCCCAGCCAGCAGAGCCACACTCGTCACGTCCCAGCACCATCCTTGGTTATCTTCCGTGATATGTCTCCTTGTGTTGTTAGATAAACGTAATTCCTCATCTGCCGTTTTGTTTTCCTTTTCCCTAATTCCTCCTTGTGTTGAGAGTAATTTAGATATGTATGTCTGATGGAAGAAAATCTTCCCTTGTTTATTTTGAAATTTAAAAAATTTTTATAAGTTTATTTGAGCCAAATGATGACATACAACAGGAAACAGGATCTCAAATGCTGCCAGATCTTCCTTTTTTTAAGAGTACATACGCTGTTCTGTATGCTGAAGTAATAGCAGTAAGATGAGTCACATCAGATATGTGAGATCCAGGATATAGTCATTTTCCTTAGATTAGATTATCAGGTGTCTTGTGGGGTTTTTTAATGGCCTCTGTATTAAAACAGACATGTCTTTTTTTAAAATAATTTTATTTAGTTATTTTTCAAGTACAGTTTTTTTGTCTATTTTTCCCATCCCAGCCCCCCCACCCACCCAAAACAGACATGTCTTAAATAAGCACTCTAACAACACAAACACAAAACAGAAACACATTTATCTATACAGAAAACAGATTTTTTGTTACTGGAGGGAGAAGGGTGAAGTGGGTCAAAGCCCCAGGGGTACATGAGTGATGGTAACTAGACTTGGGTAGTCGTCACTGTGTAGTGTGTCCAGATGTCGGATTACAGTGCTGTTTACCAGAAACTTAGAGTGTTTGTTATAACCACTTTTATCTCAAACTTATTGTAAAGAGGTGCTCTAGGGAATCATTCAACAGTGCCTCCATTTTAGTAGCAAAGTGGGAGATACTTCCAAAAGAGATTTCAAATGTGTTGTCTCTGGGTGCACAGGGATGGGTGGGCATGGAAAAGGGTATTAGGGAGATAAACAGTGATAGAAAAAATAAATTTAAAAAAAGTTTTCTCTCTACTGTGTTTTGCACTAGCTGTCTGGGTGGGAGTGCTTCTGATCCTGAGGTTGGCAGTTGAGTGCCTGTGGAAGGAATGCACTTGTTCTTCTGACCTTTGAGAATAGTGGCCCCCACACTTTAGTGGGATAAAGTGGGGTAAACTATTTTTTGAATATCCAAGTATATACATAGTTCTAAATTATACACTTGTATTACTATACCAATAAGCAAAACCAAAGGAGGTCACTTTTTTTAGAAGAGTAAAAAATGAGCAAAAGTTCTGGTATTTCCTTCATAGACCCCAGTTGATAGTTGTTGCTTTTAGGAGGATGCATGTCACTCTTAATGCAATGTGCTGCTGGTGAATTTTGCGCATGGTATTGGGGATTGTGTCTTCCTCAGAAGCTGTGGCTATGGCAGCCCTTCCTCTTCACGTTACCGAAGGTCCCCTCTCTCTTTCCTTTAGGGCTGGATTGTCAATGTTGCCTGGTTCACTCACTGATGAATCTTGTTGCTGCAGGTACAGGTGCAGGTACAGCAGTCTCCGCAGCAGGTTTCGGCTCAGCAGCTCTCCCCACAGCTTACTGTTCACCAGCCTGCCGAGCAGCCCTTCCAAGTCCAGGTGCAGATCCAAGGCCAAGCACCACAGCCAGCGGCCCCTTCCATCCAGACCCCATCTCTGCAGAGCCCCAGCCCCTCGCAGCTGCAGGCAGCCCAGATCCAGGTGCAGCACGTGCAGGCAGCTCAACAGATCCAAGCTGCAGAGATTCCAGAGGAGCACATCCCACATCAGCAGATCCAGGCTCAGTTGGTGGCTGGCCAGTCTCTTGCTGGGGGTCAGCAGATCCAAATCCAGACTGTGGGTGCCCTTTCTCCACCACCGTCCCAGCAGGGCTCACCTCGGGAAGGAGAGCGACGGGTTGGCACAGCCAGTGTTCTCCAGCCAGTGAAGAAGCGCAAAGTGGACATGCCCATCACTGTGTCCTATGCCATCTCAGGGCAGCCAGTGGCCACTGTGCTGGCCATTCCACAGGGCCAGCAGCAGAGTTACGTATCTTTGAGGCCAGACTTACTGACAGTGGACAGTGCCCACCTGTACAGTGCCACTGGGACCATTACTAGCCCTACAGGAGAAACCTGGACCATCCCTGTTTACTCTGCCCAGCCCCGGGGAGATCCTCAGCAGCAGAGCATTACCCACATTGCCATTCCCCAAGAAGCCTACAACGCAGTTCACGTCAGTGGATCACCCACAGCCTTGGCAGCTGTAAAGCTGGAGGATGACAAAGAGAAGATGGTGGGCACCACATCTGTAGTGAAAAACTCCCATGAAGAGGTAGTACAGACCCTTGCAAACTCTCTCTTTCCAGCACAGTTCATGAATGGCAACATCCACATTCCAGTAGCTGTGCAGGCTGTGGCAGGCACATACCAGAATACAGCTCAGACTGTCCATATATGGGACCCTCAGCAGCAGCCACAGCAACAGACTCCCCAGGAACAGACGCCCCCACCACCACCACCACCGCAGCAACAGCAGCAGCAGCAGCAGCTCCAGGTTACTTGTTCTGTAAGTGAGACTTATCTGTGGGGCACTCCGCTTCCTGAGGACCCAGTGCAACCCAGAATTTGCCTGGCAACCTCTGATGCCCCTGGTTGTTTATGCAATGATGTTAGTCTTGCAGTTATATAGTATTTAATATTTCAGTTGGGTCAGGGCTGGGAGACAAAAGCAGCAGGTGAAGCTGTGCAACAGGCAGGAGTGCTGTCCTGGTACGTGAAGGTAAATAAAATTGACCACTAACTGTGCTTTGGAGGTTGCCTGGGGTGCTTCATTGTTACCTCTTTTTAGGAAAGGTAAAATTCTGGCTAGAGACTAATGGGACATTCCTAGTGTTATCCTAGTCCCAAGGGCTACTTTTTGCATCACAAATGAAAGGATCTGGTGGAACCCCAGTAATAGTTTAACACATAGACACTGAACTCAGCTCAGTAGAGAGGACTTGGAATTGTTTCTTCTTTTGTTGTCATCTGTGGACGTAGTGGAGGTGAATGAGAAGATCTAAAATACCTCCTTGTTGGCCTGTCATTTTAGGAGTCTTGAACAAGCTTCCTCTGTAGTGGGATCTCCCAAAGAGGTTTTTTTTTTTTTTTTTTTTAAATTGATTTTTAGAGAGATGAGGGGAGAGAAAACAAATATATCAATTTGTTGTTCCACTTATTTATGCATTCATAGTTTGGTTTTTTTATATGTGCCCTGACTGGGGATCGAACCCACACCCTTGGCATATTGGGATGATGCTGTAACGAGCTGTGCTACCCAGCCAGTGTTCCTTAAAAAGAGTCCGGATCAGCCTCAGTTAATTGAATTTTCTGTCAAGGCAGCTATGTTGAAAAAAGTTTTTAAGCCTTTTATTTTGAAATAATTTGGATTTACAGAAAAGTTGCAAAAATAGAACTCTTGAAATTTAGCTTTAAAATTATTTAGCTCTTTTATCTTTTCTAATTGTTACTTTTCTTAAAGCTATTATCTTTTAAGACTGTTAGTAAACTTCTGGTCCCTTGTCTAGCAGATCTTTAGAGTCGATATACAAAAGGCCTCTGGTCTCAAGGACCTACTGAAGACTGTGCCCTCAGAGGGCAGGGGCTCCTGGGAATGCATGTAAGGGAGATGGCACAAACAAGGCACAAGGCACTGGCAGACCAGGGACCACACTCAGAAACACAGGCCGTAAACGATTTTGATTAGGCAAAAGCTGACCAGGTTGTTTCATAAAGGCAACAGTACATTATTTTAGGTGACTTTGTTAAAGAACTGTTGAATGTCCGGGTGTCGGGCCTAGCGGTAGAACAAGACAGAGTGATTGTTGCAGGCAACTTGTAGTCTGGTTATAAGGCAGCACAATCAGGGTGCATTGTATGCTGCACACATCAGGAAAAACGGGGCATTCAGAAATCATTCTAGGTTAAAAAGTCAGCAGAGGCATATCTGGAAAAAGTGGTGTATGCTTTCTCGTTTATAGCTTACACTGACAACAGAATGGAGGAGCATGAGCACAGAGCCAGGGATGGAAAGAAGAGACTTGGCTTAGGGCAACATGGGAGGGGCCTGTGAGGGAGGAGATAGTGCAGGGACAGCAGGGTTGTCTTCCCAAAGTGAAGAGGTGATCTTAGTCTGATGTCCATGGTGGGCAATTTTTCCAGAATCCAAAGAGTCCTGATAAGATGAAGAATCAAGAGCCAGTGTGTAGAATTGATTGCACATAAGCAAGACCTGCCAGGAGACTTGTAATAGGGTTCTGTACTCAGCTTCTGCTCACAGGCACGGAGCTCATCAGGCCTCTTTCGGCTCTCCTGGCTCTGATGTTTAATTTGCAGGTCGGGGCTCTTTGTGCTCCTTAGTCTCTGAATAAGTTGTATATTTGGGTCCTTCAGCAGGAGATCTTTTCTGGAGTTTTGTGTAGTGGACCCATGTTCTTCAGTGCTATGTCTCCTTTGGAAAAATCTTAATAGGGACTTATCAAATATTATTACCAGAAAAAGAAAAATTGGGAAGAATGACCATCATGTAGGTAGGAAAGATGAGTTTGTTCATTTGCACTACAAAGATTCCTCTGCCTTCCTTTATCAGGCTCTGTGCTAGGCAACAGAGATGAGTAAGACAGTCTGCCCTTGGAGCACTCACAGCCCGTGGAAGATAATTGTGCGGTGATGTGAGTTCACCCTAGGGAGAGCTGATGACAGTGTTGTTCCCCTTCACCTGGCATACCCTTTATGAAAGCTCTCATTGCCTGTCCTTATTTTTTTATTTTATTATATTTATTTTTTGAGAGAGGGAAAGGGAGGGAGAAAGAGAGGGAGAGGAACATCAATGTGTGGTTGCTTCTTGAGTGCCTCCTGTTGGGGACCTGGCTCACAACCCAGGCAAGTGCTCTGGGAATTGAACTGGTGACCCCTTGGTTCACAGGTTGGCACTCAATACACTGAGCCACACCAGCCAGAGCTCATTGCCTGTCTTTAAAACCAGACTTAACGGTGGAACATTCTTCCCTTGACCTCTGATCCACCCCCATTAGTTGCCTCATTTCTCTGCTCTACTTTATTCCCAGAGTTCTCAAAAGGATTATCTGTACAAGCTAACTCCACTTGCTAACCTGTTTTCAAAACACAATTGAGCATGCTCTTGTGACCGGAGGTCAGCAGTGCCCAGATCCAACAGTGTATCTGTTTTCAATCTCAGCAACACACAACACAGCCTTCTCGATTTTGTGTTATTACACACTCCTGGTTTTTCCCCTTCTCCATTGATTCTTTTTAAAATTTATTTATTTATTTTTAAAGAGAGGAGAAGGGAGGGAGAAGGGGAGAAACAGCAGTGTGAGAAACATTGAATAGTTATCTCTCACATGCACTCTGATGGGGGCCGAACCTACAACCCAGGCATGTGCCCTGACTAGGAATTGAACCAGCAACCTTTTTGCTTTGTACGAAGATGTCCAACTGAGCAACACCAGTCAGGGCCCATTGATTCTTTGCCCTTCTTGGGAGACTGTTGGTGCCTCCTCCTCTCTCTGAATCATACATGTTGGTATTGCTCAGAGCACAGTACTAGCCCTTTTTTCTTCTTTAGGAATTACTATCCTTTGGCATGGTTTTTCAACTTGTTTTTCTCTGAAAACAGGTGTACAACTTTTTGGCATCTCTGGGCTGCACTGGAGGTAGAGTTGTCTTGGGCCACACATTAAACAACACAAACACTAATGAAAACTGATGAGCTAAAAAAGGTTTTAAGTAAATTTACAATTTTGTGTTGGGCCTCATCGGTAGCCATCCTGGGCCGCAGGCGGCACACACCTGTGATGGTGCTGCTGCTAGAGATGCTACTCTGGTCACTGCTCTGGACACTCAGTGGCACTATCTGCCAGCATTGTTCTCCACGTTACATAGTTTAACTCATTTACTTCTCACACCAGCCTTATGAGGTATATGCTGCCGTGTCCATTTTACAAAAGAAGAAACTGAGGCACAGATAGATTAAACAGCAAGGCCAAAGTCACAATTAGCAAGTAGCAAGTTGCAGAGTTGGAATTCAACCCCAGACAGACAGTTTGCAGCTCATCTTAACCACTGTACTGCACAGTTGTTCTGACACGCAGATCTTGTATCTCTAGACCATGCCTTTCCCCTTAAGACCCTTATACACATTTAGCAGCTACTTCCTTGACTTTAATTGGAGATCTCTCAGCGCTTCATTAGCAACAACTCTGCCACTACTGTAAACTTCCCCATCTTAGGAAGTGGTGGCTACCCATTGGTTTAAGCCAGAAACCCAGGAGTCATCCTTGAGTCTGCTTTCCCTTAACTTTACAGGCAGCTCCTCAGCATGCCGCATTGGTTATACCACCAAACTTCTCAGACTCTCTGAAACTCTTCACTGCCACTACGCTAGTCTACGCTAGTAAGATCATGTCACTTTCCAGCTTAAACTCTCCAAGGGCTCCATTATAAAAAGGAAAAAACCAAAACAACAAAAAACCCACTACACCACAGTGTACAAGGCCCTACTTACATCAATAGTTTTTAACCTTGGTGTGATCATTACTACCCCTACCCACTGAGAGACATTTGGACACATGTGGAAGAAGTTTGGTTGTCAAGATGCCTGGGAATGTTACATTTAGTGGGCGGAGGTGCACACTGAAGGGAGAATGACCAAAAAAAAAAAAAAGCCAGCAGAGAAGCACTGCCCCACCTACCTACGCAGTCAGACTCCCAGATTTTCAGCTTGCATAGGTGGTGTTGTCATTGAACAAGGCAGGGAGGGTAGTCAGAGAAGAGGATGGTACTTCTGGATGGGGAAGGGATGAATTCTCTTTGTAGATGTTAGTTTGAGGTGGCTATGAGATGCCCAGTTAGAGATGCACAGTACCCACTGGGTATGTTAAGGGGAGGTGTAGTTAGCATAGATGGAGGCACAGAGTTAGCAGTCATTTTCCCAGTTACGGAAATCCAAACTGGGAGAGTGAGTGGAGACTCAACAAGGAGAACAGTAGCTGAACTAAGAAGTGTGTCTTGAGTGGAGGTCCAGGGTTGACAGACATTTAAGGGCCTGGCAGTGGGATTTGCTTTACCCGCTTGTTTAATAATGTGTGTTGTCATAGCTGTTTGTTGATTGCAAGTTTATGTGTCACGGATAAATGATTTTGCTTTCAACTTGAATGATTCCACATTCCTCAGCCCTGAAAGGGAGAATTACTCAAGAAAATTTGTTTACAATGTGGACAGGTGTGTGAGACCCAAGAACCTGTGCTTGGTTTGTGTTCATGTCTGTCCCACCTGTTGGGGATTGTGATTCAGACTCATGGACATAACTCTGCCCCTTTGTCTGCATGGCTTGGATGTCAACCCATTGAGGATGGGACCACTTTTCCTGTGGAGGCAGGAAGCTAGAGCATTGCTCCTGCTATGCAGAAAATGTCCTTACGAGCACTATTAATGAAATGGAACATGAAAAAATAGAACCTTATGTATAGCTAGAGAAGCCATATATATCCTCAGGTCTTCCTCCCTTACATTACAGTGGCAGGGAGAGGGACAGGACTTTGTTTTACTTTTCTTTCTCTAAACACGATTCCCAACCGTGGTTTGACCTTAGAATAACCTGGGGAGCTTCTGAAAACACTGATAAGCCCTGGCTGGGTGGCTTTGCTGGTTAAAGCATCGTTCTATGCACCAAAAGGTTGTGGGTTTGATTCCCCGTCAGGGCACATAACTGGGTTGCAGTTTTGATCCCTGGCCAGGGTACATACAGGAGGCAACCTATCAGTGTTTCTCTACCCCATTCTTCTCTTGCTAACAATTAATAAACATTTCCTTGGGATATTATTTTAAAAAACAATAATCACTAAAAAAATGAAAGTACTGATAGCAGGCTCTCATCTTAGAAAAGTGAATCAGAATCTCTGGGGATTAAGGCTTGGACGTGTGAGTATTTTTTAAAAGCAGTCTAGATGATTTTAAGGGGCAACCAAGATTAACGGTCACTGCTCTGGACACTGAGTCCTCAAAGTGTGATCTGCAGACCAGCTCCCTCACTTGGAAGCTTATTTCAATGGAAATGCAGAGCCCCGGCTGGTGTGGGTCAGTGGGTTGAAGCATCATCCTGCAAACTTGGAAGGTTGCAGGTTCAGTCCCCAGCAATTGATGCTTCTCTCTCACATTGATGTTTCTATCTCCCTCTTCCTCTGTCTCTGAAAGTGATGAAAAAAGTGTCCTTGGGTGAGGATATATACTTTAAAAAAAAAGCAAAGAAATACAGAATCTCAAGTCCCCCTGAGACCTTTTAATTAGAGTCTACACTTTAATAAAATCCCCAAGTGATTTGTTGGCTTATTATAATTGGACATGCAGTGCTTTGGGCTAGTAATATTTGATCAGTGACTAAACATTAAAATTGCCTTTTGACATGCGAAGGTTATATTTTTTAAAGATTTTATTTATTCATTTTTAGAGCGAGGGAAAAGGAAGGAGAAAAGGAGAGAAACATTGACGTGTGAGAGAGGAAAAATGACCACTTGTTTCTCGCACACCCCCAGCCAGGGGACCTGGCCCACAACCCAGGCACATGCCCTGACTAGGAATCAGACTGGTAACTTTTTGGTTCACAGGCCAGTGCTCAACCCACTGAGCCACACCAGCCAGGGCAACATGCACAGGTTTTCAACAGACTCATCATGCCTCTTTAAAAAAGATTCTAAGGTGGAATGCAGGTATTGGTGTTCTTAAATCAAAGATTCAGAAGTATAGCCACTACTGAGAATTGCTGTACTAGTCTTTGCTATCCCTGGGGTAAGGGGTAGAATTTCAAAGATTCTGGAAAACAGGACAACAAGAAGATAATTTTTTTTTTTATTAAAAGAACTACAATTAATTTTTCCTGGCAGTTTCACTAAACAAAGGGCCTGAAAGAAAAGAATATTGACACATTTTGATGGTTTCTCTTTCATAGGCTCAAACTGTTCAGGTTGCTGAAGTTGAACCACAGTCACAGCCACAGCCTTCTCCAGAACTTCTGCTTCCAAATTCTCTGAAGCCAGAAGAAGGGCTCGAGGTGTGGAAAAACTGGGCCCAGACGAAGAATGCTGAGCTAGAGAAGGATGCTCAGAACAGACTGGCACCCATTGGGAGTGAGTGTTTAAGGGGGGGGCTGTACTATGTCTAAAACACAGTAACCCTGGAGCAGGAGGAGGAGAGAATGGCAGAGAGTGGCATCCCTTGACTCTGGGGACTGGGAGCTTCATCTGGAATAGAATGTTGAATTCAAGAAAACAAGTAGGCCTGACCAGTTGCAGATGAGCGGGGTCTGTGGGACTTGTCCAAGATCAGGCATTTTTATACACACATATTTCTGGAGTTGACCTAGATCTGGGCAGAGCAACTTCAGGGAGGAGATAGAGACCAGTGAGTGCTCAAGGCCCTTGTTCCTTAGTGTTATGATTATATCTTCCTCACATTACAGAGGGTGGAATTTTTTTTTCTCACATCATGGCCCTAATAAACATTTTCAGAGTATGTGAGGTGGGAGGATTGTGGAAAGGAAACCCTTGGTGTGTTTGAGCATATAGGGTTGTTGCCTCATTAGGCCAGATGCCACTGCCTAGCCCCAACGGGCAGTGTTTGCTCTGAGCCATCCTTTCAGGGACATGAGTGACCAATAAAGAGATAACTGTTTGTGAGAACCCCCATTGACCTTTGGGTTTGTGTTGTAGGACGCCAGCTTCTGCGATTCCAGGAAGATCTCATCTCTTCTGCTGTGGCTGAGTTGAATTACGGGCTCTGTCTAATGACACGAGAAGCTCGAAATGGAGAAGGTGAACCCTATGATCCGGATGTACTCTACTATATTTTCCTGTGCATTCAGAAGGTAGGAAACAACTTCATAGGAACATGTTTGAGCTGTGTTCTGATCAGTTACTTACTGGATATTTAAATTAGTAAAATGACAAGCAAGGGGTTTTAATTAGGAAATTCTCTTTCAACTGTGTAATGAGGTTTTTAAAAAATACTCATGTTTAGCCCTGGCTGGTGTAGCTCAGTGGATTGAGCGTGGGCCTGCGAACCAAATGATTTTGGTTCGATTCCCAGTCAGGGCACATGCCTGGGTTGCAGGCCAGTTCCCAGCAGGGGACATGTGAGAGGCAACTATACATTGATGTTTCTCTCCCTCTCTCCTTCCCTTCCCCTCTAAAGAAGGGTTGCCTCTTGTTCATACCCAATTGGGGACCCAGCCTGCAACCCAGGCACATGCCCTGACTGGGAATTGAACCAGCAGCCCTTTGGTTTGCAGGCCAATGCTCAATCCACTGAGCCACACCAGCCAGAGCTAATGCGGGTTTGTTTGTTTGTTTAATTGTAAAAGACCTACATATTCACTTTAGAAAATAAGAAAATAAACATTATTCATAATCTTGCCTTATAGAGGAACTCCTGTTAAAATATTTTGTATAGTAAAAAGAAACAAACAATAGAGCAAAGCAAAACGCACCCAAAAATACTTGGTATATTACCTGAAAGAGTCTTTTTTTCCCATTACTATTTATTCCCCTGATAACCCTCTGCCTTCCCCCCACCTCCAAGCACCACACTGTTGTCCATATTCTTGAGTTCTTTTTCCTTTTTGCTCAGTTTCTCCGCCCCTGAACCTCCTCCTGCTCTTTCGCTGTCATCCTGCTCTGAGTCTGTTTCTGTTTTGCTTGTTAGTTCAATTTATTCATTAGACTCTGCATATGAGATTCTGCATATGAGTGAAATCTGTCTTTCTCTGACTGGCTTATTTTACTTAGCATAATGTTCTCTCAAGCTCATCCATACTGTTGCAAAGAGTAAAATTTTCTTCTTTTTTATGGTCCAGTATAATTCCATTGCATAAATGTCCCATAGGTGTTTGATCCACACTTAGGCTGCTTCTATACCTTGGCAATTGTAAATAACACTGCAATAAACATAGGGGTAATTATGTTCTTTTGAGTTAGTGTTTTGAGCTCTTTCTAATATATTCCCAGAAGTAGGATTGGTGGATCAAAAGGCAGGTCCGTTTTTAATTTTTTGAGTTATCTCAATGCTGCTTCCCATAGTGGCCGCTGTCCCATCCGCACCCCCGTCAGCAGTGCAGAAGGTCCCCTTTCCCCACGTCCTCGCCAATGCCTGTTTGTTGAGAGCCTTTTTTGTTTTGTCTTGTTTTTTAATTATGAAACACATTATTAACACTTTTTTTGGGGGGTAAAGTAAACATGGTTTGCATAAAAGTAATTTATCCTAAAGTCTGCTGCTAACATACAACTTATCTTCTTATTCCCTACATTGAAACAAAATAATTATTTGAAGGAATTGAGTGAGAATATACAACTGTAGTTAGGTGTTCGGGACATCTAAGGTGAAGCATCACAGAGGAATTTGTTTTAGACCGGCAGTTTAGGAGAGCCAAGGTGGAGTTCTTAGTGTGTCCATATTCTTGTGAAACATCCCACAGTAGCTCTGGCTGGTGTGGCTCAGCGCATTGAATGCCGGCCTGCCAACCCAGGGGTTGCTGGATTGATTCCCTGGTCTAGGGCACATGCCTGGGTCTCGGGCCAGGTCCCTGATGAGGGGGCATGTGGGAGGCAACTACACATTGATATTTCTCTCCCTCTTTTTCCCTCCCTTCCCCTCTCTAACGTAAATGAATAAAGTCTTAAAAAAAAGAAAGAAAGAAAGAAAAGAAAATCCCATAGTAAGATGGAAAAAAAAGCACATGCTGCTTGGCACTTACCTTGTTGCCTGGTCTTGAGAAAAGTTTGCCTCCCTGTTTGATCCTATTTCTTCCCAGTCACTTGGGGCACTAAGTGAGTTGTTTACATGCCATCTTTTTCTATGCACTCCTGAATCCTGGAAGGCAGGTACAGTCATTTTCATTTACACACAGGGGAACTGAGCCCCCAGAGTTAAAGGACTTGCACCAGATGCCTCAGAGCCTGCACCATGGTGTTCTGTTGTTGGTTTTTCTCTTTCTTTTTGGCTGCCTTATATAAGACAGTGCCTTGCCTGCATTAGCATTCACAAAATCTGCCCCACTCACCCAACTCTTTAAGAGAGTTGTGAGAGTTTGTTCATACGATCTGATGTGTACTGTGGAAATGTCAATCAAATGCTGGATGGCTTTGACCTGATGTACAGGTTTATAAGGGCCAGATGGGTTAGCAAAGGTGATGGAACTGGTAGAAAAATGTTTATTTCTCCTGAAAGTCTTACTCAGGAGATCACTAACAACTTTTGCTGATTGTTTTTCTTTCAGTATCTTTTTGAAAATGGACGGGTTGATGACATTTTCTCTGATCTTTATTATGTTCGATTCACGGAGTGGCTACATGAAGTTCTGAAGGACGTTCAGCCCCGAGTCACTCCACTTGGTAAGAGTCTTCCTAGTCCTTGGATGTCTTTCCCACCTGGGTTTAAAAAGGATGCCTGTGTGGCTGGCTGTGATACAGCATGTGGGTGAGGATGCTCTAAATCCCAGGCACCAGCACCAACTTTGCCCTGATATGGAAGGGGCCCTGCTCACCAGACACAGGGCCCAGCTGGTCCCAGTGTGGCCAGAACATGGGCATTCAGGGTGTAGGGTACTCTTTTCTTTTCCTATTTAAACTTACTGATTAAAATTAGATTCATTTCAAAAGCTAAGAATTATTAACTATTTAATCTGTAGGTTACTCCTATTACATATTGGAGTTTTTTTTTTTAAATATGTTTGAACAAATGTTATACAGGGTGGAGCAAAAGTAGGTTTACAGTTGTTCCTATTTAAAATAATTCAATAATAAATAATAATATAAGAATAAACTCTGTTTTGCATACTCATAATTGTAAACCTAATTTTGCCCCACCATATACTGAATGTAATTTTTGCTTTATCTGTAGGTAACTTCCTGCGCAGAGTGTTATGTTTGAAAAAACATGAGTTTTGCAGTAGAATATCTGGGTGTTTACTTTTTAATAAACTTTATTTTTTAGAGCACTTACAGAAAAATACAGCAAGAGGTACAGAGAATTCCCATATACCCACTCACAGTATTTCCCTATTACTATCTTGTATTAGTGTAGTATACTTATTGTAATTAATAAATCAATGTTGGTACATTATTAAAACCCTATAGTTTACATTAGGGTTCACTCCTTGCATTGTACGTTTATGGGTTTTGACAAATGTATAACAGCATGTATTAACAATTACCACATCACACAGAAACTTCGCTGCCCTCAAATCTGTGTGTTCCACCGGTCATCCCTGTCTCCCTCCCCCGAGTCCCTGGGAACCACTGCTCTTTATACTGTCTCCATTGTTTTTGACTTTCCCACAATGTCACATAGTTGAAATAATTTAGTATGTGGCCTTTTCAGATTTTTTTTCACTTAGCAATATGCATTAATGTTCCCGCGTGTCTTTTAGTGGCTTGATAGCTCATTTCTTTTTATTCCTGATAATATTCCATTGTATGGTTGTACCACAATTTGTTTATCCATTCACCTACTGAAGAACTTCGAAATGTTGGCAATTATGAATAAAGCTGCTATAAACATTGTGTGCAGGTTTTTGGTGAAAGAAGAGGCAGATAGATCAATGGAACAGAATAGAGAGCCCAGAAATAGAGCCACAAAAATATAACCAACTTACCTTTGACAGAGGAGCAAAGGGAATTCAAGGAAGAAAGGATATTTTCAACAAATGGTGCTAGAACAACTGGACATCCACGTGCAAACAAATGAATCTCGACACAGACCTTACACCCTTCACAAAACTAACTCAAGATGAATCACTGACCTAAATGTAAAATGCAAAATTATAAAACTCCTCCTCCAGGTAACATAGGAGAAAATCTAGGTGACCTTGGGCTTGGTGATTACTTTTTATATACAACACTAAAAGCACTGTGGTGCATGGGGAAAAAAATGGTAACTTGGACTTCATTAAAATGAAAGACTTCTGCTGTGTGAAGACACAGTTAAGAAAATAAAAAAATGAGCCACAAACTGGGAGAAAATCTTTGCAAAACATATATCTGATGAAGGACTGGTACCCAAAATATCTAAAGAACTCTACCACTCAGCAGTAAGAACACAAACAAACTGGTTAACAAATTGGCAAAAGATGGACAGATGCCTCACTAAAGATGCATAGGTGGACGAGAAATATATGAAAAGATGCTTATTTTATTTCATCAGGAAATTGCAAATTTTAGAATGGGTAAAATTTCAAACTGGCGGCATCAAATGCAACAAAATAACCCTCATTCATTGCTAGTGGGAATGCAGAGTGGTACCACTTTGTAAGACAATTTGGCATTTTTGTACAAAAGTACACATTTCCTTACCTGTGATCCAGCAATCATGCTCCTTTGTATTTACATTGAAAAAAATTCTAGTTAACATCTGTCACCACGGATGTTTGTCACTTAAATGCACCCCCCCAAAATTACCAGCTAAATATTTTTGAGTTCCTGCTTTATGTCAGGTAGTATTCCAGATGTATAGAAAATGAGCCTACAGTTTAATAGAGACAGCAGATAATCTAATTAATAGTCAAAATAATTTATGGTTAGGGAAGTGCCTTGAAGACAAGGGAATGGGAAATGTTAAGGGCACTGGAAGGGAGGCCTCTCTCTCTCTGAGGGGCTGTCATTAGAATGGAGATTTGAGTGAGGGAGTGAGTTAGCCTTGCCACATGATTTGCAAAGTTTCAAGCTAAGTGTAGGCATGCAGAATATGCTTTTAAAAACTTTTTATTGTGCAATTTTAAGCACATATGAAAGAAAAAATAGGTTAATGACACTCCCATGTACCTGCTATTTATTCATGGTAAATCTCATTCTATATATGCACCACTTATTCCCCCTCCTGTGTTACAATAAATCCCAGTTGAAGTAAACCCCAGACACTCTACTCATAAATGTTTTAATATGTATTATTGACATACCACAATGCCATTATAAAGTTTTTAAAAAGATAATTATATAATGCCATCCAAATCTCTATCCTCTGAATTTCTAATTGTCTCATAAATGTCATAATTTTGTTTGTCTGGGTCAAGGTGTCAATTCCATGTGTGAAATTGCTGGTAAACCTTTTAATGTTTTGTTTCAGTCTTTAATTTCCTCCTTGATTTTTTTCTTGCAATTGTTTATGGGAGAAACTAGCCTTTTAAATTGTCAGTCTATATTTTGGTGATTATATCACCATGGTGTAGTTTGACATACTCTTCTGTCCTCTGTGTTTACAGTTCATTGGGAGTTGCATATAAAGACTCAAATGATCAGAGAGAGAGAGAGAGAGTGAGAGTGTGTGTGTGTGTGTGTGGTTTCTTTTTGGCAAGGTTACATAATACATGGGTTTATTTTCATCAGATGCCTATCATGTCTGGATCCATTAATTTATTAGTTGTAAAAGGTGGTACTCTAATGTTATTACTTCTTCATTATTAGCTAAACAGCAAACTTCTTGTCAATTCAGTTCCTGGCAGTGCAAATTGTGTAGAAAAGGGAGGGGTAGGGCCCACTTCTACTCCTTTGTTTAGCAGCTTTCACAGTTGCAGTCGTGACTTGTTTCACCACCTTTCCCTGGTAGTGGCCAGTTAGCTGGGTGGGTTTGTTTTTGGTCTTTAGCAGTCATTGTGAGCTAATGAATTTAAACATATTTAATATGTTTCAGTATGTTGCAATTATTATTTTTATTTTATTTTATTTTTTTAGTTTACTGATGCTCAAATTGTCCCATCTGTGGTCATTTGGAGCTTCTTTAAATTGGTCCTTAAGTTCTTTTGACACAACCCTTCTTTGATCTCTGGTTTTCAAAATGTTTCAGGCTCATCTTGGGCATTTTTTTGTACCAGCGTAGAATCAGTTCATTCTCCATGGAGCCTGTTTTTGTTTTGTTTTTGATGTTGTTTTTTTGTAAATGGTATTTCCATATGAAACCCAAGTCTGGGTGCTGGGTGTGCTCCTTTCTCCTGAATTGATCATTTGTTTCTAGGCCTTTAAAGTGGGCAGAATTGAAAATACAAAAAACAGATCATTTTCATACTTGTAGTTCACAACAGAACTTCAAGGATTTTACATGATATCTATATATATATTACCCATCTCCCATGCCAGGAGTTTTAGTTTCCATGCATTAAGTTTGTAGTGTTTAGAAGCAATTAAAGCCCCGGCCACTGTGGCTGAGTCCCTTGGAATGCTGTCTTGTAACCAAAAGGTTGTGGTTTTCTTCCTAGTCTGGGGGCACGTATGATCCCTGGTCCAGGTGCATACAGGAGACAACCAACTGATGTTTCTTTCTCTCCCTTTCTGTCTCTCTAAAAGCAATGGAAAAAATGTCCTCGGGTGATGATTTAAAAAAAAAAAAAGCAGCAGGGATTAAAGTTAACAAAAGTGACATCAGGTGGGAGAGTGAATCCAGAGAAAAGAGGGCATGCCAAGGCATGCCTGGGTGTGCCTGGGACCACTCCTAGGCCCCACCTTCCCTGAGGAAGGCTGTCTGCTGGCACTCACCTTCTGCAGACATGGCTAAGAGCAGGAAAGCTTATCTCATTGTCACTGGACCACAAAATATGAGTAGAGGCACAGTGGCCCTAGAGAGATGGAAATGCACTATTGGAGTCTGAGCCAGCTTTGGCAAGAACAGAGGAGAGGAATGTATTGGGCTTTCTGCTTCAAAAAGAGGCACTGTCACTGCTTGTTTGGAGAGTTCCAAGATTCCTGCAGGAGTGCCGGTGTCCACTGCAGCTGGTTCACCAGGCCCACAGGGCCTGGCACACGAATATCTGCACCTTGACTGCTGAATGAGCACATGGGGGTTTGGTGATCCAACGACTGGCCTTTGTTCCTGACCAGCTCTCAGTTCATTCACGGACCAGGGGCTTACAGGAAACCTACCTGCCTAGTGGGGGACAGCTGTAATAGTTCTTTCCGAATGGCAGTCTCCCCTTTACCCCGAGGGGATGAGAATGGGTTTGCTTTCTAGAGATGGAAGGCATGACAGAGGGTTTAACAAGGGCAAATGGGTATGTGTACCAGTTCTTTGGGCCCTGGACACCTTTGAAAATATGGTGAGAGGTCTGTTTCTTCTTTCCAGAGAAGTATACATATAGTCTAAGTTTGGATTGTAATTTTGGGTGTTTCACTTTCCCTAAGGCCTATACCCTTTTGCCTTATGTTAATCTTAGATTAAAGGAAGAACTGACATCAGGTAAGAGCAATCGTGTAAGGCATTGGTTCTCAAAGTATGGTCTTAGGTAACTCATTAGAACTGCACATTATCATGTCCCACCCCCCAAAATTGTGTTGGGACCCAGACTTTTGTGTTTTAACAAGCTTCCCAGGTGATTCCACCATACCTGGAACAGTTCTCTGGGTAAACCATGTAGTCCTATGTGGTCCTGCTTGTGCCTCACACCTCCCGTCCTGCACCTTTGAGGGAACGCCTGCCATCCTCTTGTTGTAGCAGTACTCTATTCCTCCTAGGCTATGTCCTGCCCAGCCACGTGACTGAGGAGATGCTGTGGGAGTGCAAGCAGCTCGGGGCTCACTCCCCTTCCACCCTGCTGACCACCCTCATGTTCTTTAATACCAAGTAAGTGTTTTAGAGGCTCCATGCTTAGTTGCTGCTGGCATCCGTCCAGTGAAGAGGGTGGAAACTATCCAGACAGACTTAAGAATTCCTTTGACACATTTGAGAGCCTTTGGGCTACTGAAAGCCCTCAGCCCCACGTGGCTGCATTTTGCCTGGTGACCTGTGAAGCAGACAGCCTTGCCAGACCCTGCCATCAGTCTTGGCTTCACTAGACAGTGTGTTTGGGTGTGGGCCTGCCCATATCCTGGGAGTGGGGGCATTGGCTCCTCTAAAGCACTGATGGCAGAAGGTAAATCGTGGTCTCCTCCTGGCACCCCTCCCTTTCCCTTGCTTTCACTTGTGGTGCAGGTACTTTCTTTTGAAGACAGTTGACCAGCACATGAAGCTGGCCTTCTCCAAGGTTTTGCGACAGACGAAGAAGAACCCCTCCAATCCTAAAGATAAAAGCACGAGTATTCGGTACCTGAAGGCGCTTGGGATACACCAGACTGGCCAGAAAGGTAGGGGGCAGGAGGCAGGGGCCCAGAAACAGTGCTGTTTATCCTGCTGTGTCCTTGTTCCTGAGGGGCTAGTAATGAGTGTGGGATCGGGATTTGCTGGGTAGGCATTCTATCCTTTATCCTCAGCCAGAAACTTCAAACTTTTCAAGAAGCAGAGATGCTTCGGAAAAGATAGCTCCTATTTCCTCTCATAGTCACAGCCCATGCCTCACACCCTTTCCCCTCCCAATATTTTTCAGTTGGGATGGCTGGAAGCCTAAGTAAGGTTCAAGATCTGGGCCTGAGCTAAAGCAGCCTGGTGCCATGTCTGTGGTGGTGAGGATGTGTTTTATAGTTACAGATGACATGTATGCAGAACAGACGGAAAATCCAGAGAATCCACTGAGATGTCCCATCAAGCTCTACGATTTCTACCTCTTTAAATGGTGAGGAGGCTTTATTCTGAGTGGGTGAATGTGTGCATGCATACATGTGTGCACAGGCATTCTCTAGTACCCAACAGTAAAAACGCCCTTCCAAAGAAAGCAAAGTACATGAGCAACTTTACTGCTTTTTTGAAATTACATGATGTGCCTGGCACTGTGATGTAAAAGGGGTCCCTGCTCCCTGGTGGTCCCCTTTCCTGAAGAGGGGATGAAGGTGGAGGGAGGCAAGTACAGAGAGGCTGCCTCCATCACATACTGAGCATCTTCTTGGGCTTTACCTTTGCTCACTACCACCATCAATCTAGGGGTCCTCCTTTCCCTGGCTTTTGTTCTCCTTTGTGCCCGAAGTTTGGCTCTCCTCTTCACAGCAGTACCTGAATGATCTTTCTATGTTGCATGTCTTACCATGTTACTTAAATTAAAACCTTCAGTGGTTTTCTTTTACTCTGCAAAAACAGTAATCCTAATATGGCCTCGTTAGGCCTTTCCTTCATTCCCCATTGCTAACCTCATGTCCATGTTGTTTTACGCTTTCTCCTCTTCACTTAAGAGCACATGCTTTTCCTTTCTCAAGGTCTCAGCAGACTTTTTTTCCTGTTGGGCAACCCTCATGCCACCACCCCCACCCACCCATTTGGCAGTTAGCTTCTATCCATCTGTGTTCTCAAACACAGCTTTGTCAGGAAAGCATTTTCATACTCCCTGCGTATTTCCTCAGGTTGTTTCCCTCTGTTGTACCTGCAACTGTTGGTCATTTTGTGTGTATTTGTGTAACTTTAATTACTGTCTGCCTCTCCCTTTATTGGTGTGCTCCAGCGGGTAGAAACTGTTGGGTCTTTCTCATTTCCCTAACATCAACACCTACTTCAGGGCTAGGACACAGTAGCCCTTTGATAAATCTTGAGAGGATGGCATGTGAAGTATTTAAGAACGGTACAGCACAGCATTGAGGGGTTTGGGGGGTTAGCCCAGGTAAGGGCCCCAGTCCCTCAGCTAGAATTGAAGAATCATCAATGGATTCGTTAAAGGAAACAACTTGAGCAAAGACTTGGAGGCAGACCTGGGCAGGGGTTGGTTCCAAGTGGGATATGCCTGGACTCAAGCAGATGAGCCCTCGGAGTCCTGGGCAGCTGGTCAGAGGGATCAGCAGCTAGCAGTGTGTGGGGGAGGTGCAGAAGAGAGGCAGCCTATCCTTGGCATTGGAGATAGTATGTGTTGACTGCATTCAATTCAGTACCATAACTTCCAGGGCTGTTCCCTTCCCAACTTTTGCAGACATCTGTCTGGGAGGTTCAGGTGGGAGGATTGAGATTGTGGTTTTAACCAGCTTTTACTTGACATTCTTCAGTCCCCAGAGTGTGAAAGGCCGGAATGACACCTTTTACCTGACACCTGAGCCAGTGGTGGCCCCCAACAGTCCAATCTGGTACTCGGTCCAGCCTATCAGCAGAGAACAGATGGGACAGATGCTGACTCGGATCCTGGTGATACGAGAAATTCAGGAGGCCATTGCAGTGGCCAGCGCAAGCACCATTCACTGAGATCCCTTAGCCATGTTGCAAGGGAGAGCATCCAGGAAAAAACGGACAGACTTTCACACTAAAGAAGAGGCCTCCATTTTTCCTTTTCCTTTTTTATTGGTGTAGTTATGAAGCTGTTCGGACTGCTTCTGTTTAAAATATTAAAAGGAAACCAGCCCCTGTGCATCTTCATAAATCTGCTGTGGCAGACTCCTCAACCCATGGGGGCTCTGGGTTTCCTGAGAGCCTGGCGTCCTAGAAAGTTGCTGGCTGACTTTTTCCTCTTTTTTGTCTGGGGCCTGGGGAGAGGGCTTGGACTGTTAGGAGAAATGTGGCCCATTCCCTTCCTCCAGAAAGATGGAATTAATGGTGAATGGACCCTCCAGGGAATCTCCAGCTGGCTCCCACTCTGACTGGCCAACTCTGCTGACCACAGGGGAGTGGTCTTTCATGCTCAAACATAAACTTACCATCTTAATGGAAGGAAAATGAGGGGAACTTCAATTATGATTTATTAAAGACAATTTCTATTACACCTTCCTTTATGACAAGTGACATTTTAGATGTTAAAGTAAAAACTTTACCATGGCTTTTTCTTTTTTCTTTTTCTTCTTTTTTTTTTTTTTGGCCTAACGTTGAGGCCTTAAACTGAGGCTCTTGTGCCTGATGGAATTCTTGTAACATACACTTGTGTATCATATAAAGATACCACTCTGTTTCTCTTATGTATTCTTAATCTAGTTGTTTATTAAGAATGACAAGCACGTCTTTTCAATATGCTAGTGAACTACGCCTCTTTATTTGGGAGGAGATTGGAGGAATAGTGGAAGCAAAGCAATGCTTGTTAATTGAGCAGGGCAGGGTCCTGCGGGAGGGGGGGAATACTACGTGTTTAGCGCGTGCTCTGCGCATGCGCTTCCTTCAACTCCGCCCCAGAGGTGCACTGGGCCCGCCCACACGCACTACGTTTTGACGTCAGACGCGCAAAGCGCGCTGACGATTGCTGCGGGTGTATATTGCCGCGCCTCTTAGGCCAGAGGCCTCTGCGGCGTGGTCCTCTGAGGCACGCGACTTTCTCCGCACTGGCCATGGCTGACTACCTGATTAGTGGGGGCACGTCCTATGTGCCGGACGACGGGCTTACGGCACAGCAGCTGTTCAACTGCGGGGATGGTCTCACCTACAAGTGCGGGCCTATCGGGCTCACCTGGGCGAGGAGAGGGGCGGTGCGCTGGGCTGGGAGGCCTGGTGGGGCTTCCGTTGAGCCTGCTTGGGCTCGGGCAGGAGGGACAGGTTCCGGAAATTCCGTGACCATCTCTAGGGCTCACTTTGACAGATAAAGCGAGGCAACAGGGAGGTGGCATTTTGGTAGTGCTTGGGATTTCAGGCTGGAAACTCCATTCTCTGGGCACATGGAGTTGTCAGGGGTCAGAGGCGCTGATGACAGCTAGGTGGCAGAAAAGGGCCAGTCGCTATCTCCACCTTGTGCTCTGCCTTGCCTGTGACACATGGGTTAGGTCAGTGCCCTTTCTGCCCAAATGCTTTATGAGATGATCTACGGGGATGGAGTCTCCGGATGTACGAAGCCTGAACCTTACTCCCAATTTGCTCCCCCTATCCCTATAGTGACTTTCTCATTCTCCCCGGGTACATCGACTTCACTGCAGACCAGGTGGTGAGTATGACCAGTGAATGGGTCCTTAGCATTAACATTGGGCAAGGTGCCGTTGTACTCTGGTGTACCTCACCAGAGTGGGCTTCGGGGTGGATTCTATGGAATGGTTCTACTAGCATGCAGGTCATACAAGGCCCCTGTTTCGTGGGGTACCTGACATCATGTTATATGCAGAGTTTTCTCACATTAGCTGGCCTTATATCCTTAGGACCTGACCTCTGCTCTGACCAAAAAGATCACTCTGAAGACCCCACTGGTTTCCTCACCCATGGACACAGTCACAGAGGCTGGGATGGCCATAGCAATGGCGGTGAATACCATGGGGCATGAGGGCAGAAGCAAGGGCCTAGTCTCTTCCCAGGAGGCATACAGTCATATCTTAATCTTTTATTCCACAGCTTACAGGTGGTATTGGCTTCATCCACCACAATTGTACACCTGAATTCCAGGCCAATGAAGTTCGGAAAGTGAAGGTCAGAGGGGCAAGGATCGTGGTCAAGATTTCATGGGGGTTGCACTGAGGTGGAGTGGGAGTGGGGGGGTATTTTACTCCTAACTAAGGACCCTTTTTCCCCACTGTGGAGTTGAGTTCCTGAGCAGAAGAGCCTGAGACCCTGGGTCTTAAGGCAACAGAAGAGGACCAGGTGAACAGTGCTTGCCTCCCACCCATGTCTCGTGAAATTCCTGGTTTTGAGGTGTTGGTGTGATTTGGTTCTGTGGCATTGTCAAAGGGGAAGTTAACACAGACCCCAGTCTTCTGATC